TAGACATAGTTTACATAGGCATAAAGCCACATTGATGCTGGAGTTCAACAAGCCTTTTGCTATTGGTTGACTTATTTCCCCCTGCCCTCCCGTGTAATCCTTTGTGCCCTTTGTTACTTGCTTAATGATGATTCATTTTACATGCTTTTGATACTATTTATATTTCCCCTTCTTGGTTCATTTCACAGCATTCACCTCTAATGAGCCAGTCAATATAGCATTCTTTGATTTTCAAAAAGCTTCCTCACCAAATGCTTCTAAAGAAAGTGCATACATTGGATAAGAGGGAACATCATTTTAGGGATTAATAACTGAGGCAAATTGGGGGAAGGGAGGGAAAAGGATAAGAAAGAAAGGTTAATTTTTGCAATGACTGAATGTTAATAAGCAGGTCAGTAACAGAAGTGACCTACCTCGAGCTGGGTCTGTTCTGCATGTTCTGCTCAACAGAATTTGGGGGAAATAATAGGGTAAAAAAGTTTACAGATCATTCATCAGACTACAAAGAGTTAAAGATAGCTTTCATAAGGCCTTTCACCAAGCCTGGCTCTACTTCAGGCACAGAGGGAGCCACCAACGGGAGCCTGGGTAATAGAGGTACCAGCTCCGAGGGCAATCTGCCTCTTTGCTTGGCAGCCGAGGGCTTCTCACCCACCCTGGTGACGTGGTGGCTGTGTCACAGTGCACAGCAGGTAGCTGAGGGCTTTCCTGCCCATATTTGGCCTGCAAGCTCACTCGCAGCAACATCTGTGTCACAAGTGGCAGACTGTCACACGGTGCCCAAGGTGGGATATAAAAAGTCGGTCTTGGCAATCAAATGGAAGATGAAATTCAGTATCAGTAAGTGTAAAGCAATATCATTACATGTGCATTAGAGATGTGTAAAAGCAGAAGTGCTTCAGTGTTGTGTCATGTCACTGATTGATCAGGTCATGTAAACAGTTGGGGCCAGGAGGCTCAGAGGAAAAGTTTCAATTTTGTCTATCATGGAAACATTTTGGAACCAATTTTGTCCCCAGTGATGGCCCTGTAATAGTAAACTTAATGACATTGTTGTAGCTGCATTAACAGAAGATTTTGGGCAAGTTTTTTTTTTTTTATTGTTTTTTTAAATGCTTGTCCCTTTCTCTCAGATGATCAGAGACTGGAAAGATATTTAGCGGGAAAAAAAATCTTCTAAAGAAACTGGAAATCAGGGGAGGGGTTTCAGATGGTTGGAACCATAAGGAAAACAACTTTTTTCTTCAGTCCTTTATAGAAAGGAGGGCAGCAGGAGTCCTGTTAGCAGGTGCTAACTAGCTGGGAACAGAGGCAGGTAGCTTACTGACAGGTGGAAATAAATAAGGGAGGAATCATAATGTTCCAAAATTTCTGCCACTCAGCTTTGGGATTGCATCCCAGAAATGCTCATAACTGACTCTGAATTACTCTTGCAGAGCCCCATCCTGCTGCAATATAAGTATTGGTAGCCCTATTATACAAGCATTGGTGGTATTAGAGACCATAAAACTGCGCTAATTGGAATTCCCTCTAATGGCCATGAATCCCAATTGGATTTCTTTCTTCCCACTCATATTGTAATTCCCTTTGACTTGACTGATAATTGAATCCTCTTCCCCTCCCCAGATTGCTAATGGACAAATATACTGAGAAGGATGATTCAGAGTAATTTAGACAAGAAAACGTTCATTATGCAGAATGAAGATTGCATCTCTTCTCCATTCAAAACTGACCACAGGTTCTCAGGCAGAATGCTTGGGAAAGAACCAGAAATGAGGGGAAAAAAGGCTCAGGAAAGTTTCAGATAATATATAACTAGTATAAGCAAGACATTCATCTATTTAAAGTCAGGGGGGTTAATTTTCCTGAAGAACAGTATAGGTTTAAAAGAGAAGAATGATATGAAGGAGTGTAAGAAACATTGACTCTGCCCCTTAAAAGATGACTGAAAATGATTCTTTGAGGTCTGACCTTGTGTCCAATACATTTATAAGACTCCTCCCAATTGCAGTAATAAAAAGGGATAGGATGGAATATAAGGGGGACCATCTGTAAATATGAAATTAACCAACACATCACAATACTGTTGTGAAATAAATCAGACTTCAAGCTTTGCAATCAGTGTTTTCTTAGGCACTTTTCAGAGCTCATAATGATCTAATTATGCAAGTTTAATATATATTTTAAGAATAACATTTAATGACATTTTTTTATAATTTATTTTTAAAGAAAAAAATGAATATATACTAGAAGCTACTGCAAATTCTTATCTCTTGACCTGCACAGCATGGGAATTTTTGCTGTTGCTATCTCAAAACTGTTATCAAGCATAACGGAAACCCAATGTATCTATTGATTTTTTTTTTGCTGCAGACATTAATTCTGTGAGGAATTGTTAGTGAGGGGTGAGGAGTAAAGGAAAAACAACCACAAGACTTTTATATATATATTGGTGGTGATCTATGTCTGCATAGGGCTTACATCTTTGCCAATCAGATCCTCTCGATTTTCCACAATCCCCCAGGGAGCTATACCAATAGTGCAGATCTTCCCTCGAGATTTTGAGGCATGATCCTTCAGTGCATCTCCAACATGTCTAATGACTCCTGGAAAAGAAACAGCATAAAATAGAAAATTAAAATTATGACACTTCTGTTCATTATGGTCTGGGTTCAGGATAGAATCCCTTTTCAGGAAACACCTATACATATGCTTACAACTAAGTAAAACTATAAAGCATTTTCTTATTGATTACAGTTACAGTATTACTGTAGGTATTACTGAACTTGGTCCACAATACTGATACCTTCATGGGCTTGGTAGTCCAAATTATATAATCTACAATATTATTAAATAAAGTAGCAATAAAAAGTTACACAGCTCTATAAATAAAAATGGAAATGTTGACAGCTGACAGTAACTTGTTTTTCTGTACTTGTGTTCACAAACATACATGCAGGCAAGCAGACACATGGTATATATGTCCTTCCCAAGTATAGAAAGAAACAAAGGAATGAAGAGAAAAAAAAGTGTAGTTTGCATATAAATGTTCTCTTGTGTCTGAATAAAGGATAGAAAAGTTGTGAAAGCATCATTACGCTCCTCCATGGTAAGCTATTCTACCATTCTTTCCAAATACTCAGTCACCTGAGATAGCTTCCAGTAGGATATTGGAAAAAAACCCTGGG